TGAGCGAACCTTGTCATTTTTTGACGTTTGTAGAAAAATTAGATTTTTCCTAAAGTGAATTAATTCAAAAAAGTCCGACCTACTTGCAAAAGTCAGACTTTTTTATAAAAGTCATGACTGGTGATCTGTGGCTCAGTCAACGTGTATGAAAACGTGTGGTCTACCTAGGAACAATTAGAGGAGAACAAAAAATTGGTAGGTAGGGTAGGTTTTGGCATCCCAAATAAAGCCCCACATTTTGCAACCAAAATTTTCAATTTCGTTTTTCAAAATGAAATGAAATATATGAAAAAAACTGTTTTTTGAGAATATCTAGTGAAGTATGCATCATACGTGAAATGTACATCTGAAGTAGGAAACTCAATTTTGCAGAATTTACTTCCCATTGATTTTTTTGTGAAAATGATAGTCACAGCCTAAGAGCGCGTAGAAATGAAGCGCCTCGCTGCGCCCGCATCTTTATCCTATCCTATTTTGTTTTAATATTTTACCCATGATTTTACCCTTTACTTTTTCTTATGTTTTATTCTTCATAACGACTTCATCAATGAGAATTGTTTTCTTCAGACAATAAAGTATTTTTCGATTGATTGATTGATTATCCAGCCTTTCTGATGTATATGAATAAAATGGACGAATATTATTTGCAAATATCTATACCTAGAACATACCTATTTCTACAGGTTTTTTCGCTCATCGTCTCTATAAAATAAATATAATTCCACACGAAAGTGAAGACTCATTATCAAGAATTAATCTCCATTTTTTCATTGAGAACGGGGGCAGATTCGCTAACAAAACGTCCTAAGATAAGTAAAGTTTCATATTTTTTCAATACATCTTCTTCTTCTTGGAACATTTTCCAAACAATGGGATAGAATTTTTCTCCGATACACAGTGTGTGCGATTTCAACCCGCAACATCCTCCTAATTTGGAACCCGTCGACCGATTTTCAATAAAAAAAATTTCATACCATAGTAATAATACGAGCTCTTTTCGAAAATGTGGACAAATCCGAAATATTCGGATTTTCAAGGCCTACAAATATATTGAAATAATACGAATACTTTTATTTTATAGAAACGAGGAGAGAAAATCCCAAAGAATCAAGTAAAATGAATCTACTTTTGATTGTTGAATAGGTCAAAATTTCAAAAACGACTATTGGGCATTTTTTTGTTGAAACAATGACTAGCCTATTCAATTCAGGCATAGCTTAAATACCCTCATACGAAATTTGAACACACAACCTCATATAGGGTGTTAGTTATTCAATGGCAAATTTTAATGTTTTTTAATTTTCGATTCACCCTGTATCAAAATCTAAGGAGTTGATATAACTGGTGAAGTAGTCAGTGAATGGAAGTTTCATCCTTGTAACTTCTACATGCGAATGAACAGTAGGTAAATTTAATGGGAATACTAATGCCAATCTTCAATCAATGTTTTCCAATGAAATGTATATAGGTTCAAAAAATATCCAACTACCCCACTCCAGAAATATTACAGTGTAAAAATCAACTTGATACCTTATTGGTGTTAGGCAGAACATTAGAAGAAGATGGATATAATGAAGCATATAAAAAACAAAATTTAGGTACAATCAATTATTGATAGAGGCCCGGAAAACGAATTATATGGAAACTGTATAAATAAAAGTGATAATATCTCAGGATGCCTTTGGCAGATAGTAGGAGAAATGAGGGGAAAATGTACAGAATATGGAGAATTGAAAATACCAAGTGACCCAAATACGGTTAGTAATAATTTTGATAATTCATATCTGAATATTACACCAAACCCTGTGTTTAATTTGGAAGCAGAGGACTTTTCCGGTAACATATCTTTTACAAAAAATTCGAATTTTCTAGCATCTATAACAATTAGTGAAATCATTGAGATAGGTACCCCATAAGCCGGAACTTGTGCGGGGTTATAGGTAAGCATACAGACACAAACATCCATGGCCTAACTAGGATTCGAACCTATGTCTCGGTGGGAGTCCCCATACGAACTCAGCGCATTCACGCTCTCGACCACTGAGCCGATAAAATACCTAGCAGTATCATTGAACATTGAAAGTAAGTAGTAATTCCTTTGTGCCACCTAATAAATGATTTGGAATTTGGAATTTTTCCATACAGCCTAAAACTTGTATAAAAAATGTGATCCTACACTATTGGAAAACCATCCTCCTATAAATTTTTTATGCATTGATAATAACTTTACAGAAAAAAATATGTAACGTAAATGATAACAAATTAAGATTTATATATTTTGTTATACCTTCATATTAATATCAATATGCATACATTTCGATATAATCTCAAAAAACCAAGCAAAAACCTTTGTTCTAGAGTCCTTTGATTTTTTTTTAAAAACGCAGCAGGAACTTTGGGTTAAAATGTGAGTCGGTATTCAGGATATATAAACCAAACCAAAGCACCTATTCTTTTTTTATATAATTTTTTCCAGCTAATACTACCCGAAGGCTTATGGGAAATAGAAAATAAAGCTGTTAAAATATTAATATAAATTAAAAATTGAATATGTATGAGATTCTATGAACAGACGGTCCACAGGCTTACAGAATCATCTGTGCCAGGTCGTACATAATTTTGTCAATAACTAGAATAGTGCGATAATTATGTACTTACCTGAATGAAACTTTCTTGCATGTCCTCTTAAATTGCTAGCGTTGTAAAACGATTTATCGCAAATAGTGCACCAAGCCATTTTATAATTTTTTACTTTGAGATGCTTTTAATACCTCTAATTAAGTAAATAATAAAACAAGAATCTTGCTTAATAGCTGATATTAGCTAAAGACAGAGAAAAGGTGGTGGAAATTGGAAAGGTGCTCAAGCTCAACTACTAATACTAGTTTTTTACATTGTTTCGCACAGTTTCGTTTTGGTGTTTGTCTGTTTTGTAAAATTGTCGCACAGTTTCGTTTTGGTGTTTGTCTGTTTTGTAAAATTGTAAATAAACAAACAGATTAACAGATTGGGTATGTACCGTAAATCTCCGATAGTAACCGCTCTGGTTACTATCATTTCAGGCTGGTTGAATTCTGGTTATTGTTAATTGAAAATATTTACGGTACGCATTTGGTATCATTGCATAAGTCACTTGTCATTGTCAACTTTAGAGTGGAAAGGAGGGAATAATTGGTGTTGTTTTTTTGAACTAGATTTTGATTTTGAGTTTTTTTTATGGGCGTTGATTATTTAATGACATCAAACTCTTGATATTTCTCAGTTTTTCAATTGTTGAATAGATATTGAAAAATGGAACAGGGGGCGGCATTCATTCTACTTGAACATTTGTTGTCAGATTCTAGTGATGATGAGTATGAGTTGATGATTCCTCAGAGAGGTCCTATGGGTAAGTCATGCCTACAATCCCTACACTAAGCCCCACACCTAGAACTCAAGAGAGCACAGAATATTCTTGTTTGCTCAGTAATAGTTTGGAATTCAATATCAAGTTCTACATAACTACCTACTTTGGCAGGTATATCTACAATAGAAAAAATGTGTTTTAGATCCACGTCCCAGAGTGCAAAATTATATTGAGAATGTTGTAGACCAATATAGTGATGCAGAATTTCGAGAAAATTTTAGAATGCATAGGGCAACATTTGACCATATATTTGAAAGGATTAGAAATGAAATCAGCACATCTATATTTGATAGAGGTAGACACACCATTACACCCAAGGCACAATTATTAATTGCCTTGTGGTATTTTGGAACACCTGACTCTTATCGGTGAGAATTCTATTGGTTCTGACGAATTACTCCACTATAATATTATTAATGTACAATATACTTTTTTTACAAGGTCCATATGTGGTAGATTTGATATTGGCAAAGCAACAGGACTTAGAACAGTTAGAAGGGTAGCAAATGCATTAATCCTAATCAGTCCCGAAATAATCAGGTGGCCCACAGGAGATTATTTGGAGGAGGTTAAAAATGGATTTCATGTAATGGGATTTCCAGATACAATAGGTTGCATAGATGGCATGCATGTCCGAATCCCCAAACCTAAAAATCATGGAAATTCCTATATAAATAGGAAGAAATTTCCAAGTGTTATATTACAGGTCAAAGTTATATATTTCTTACTACTATAATCTCATTACAATTTCTCCTTTCAGGGTATCTGTGACCATACCCTCAAATTTACCCACTGCTATGCAGGTGAGGTTGGGGGAAATCATGATAGCACTGTATTAAGAAGCGAAATGTGGACTTTTATGAATGAAAACAATGCTATAAAATTCCCTAATGACACTCATCTTTTAGGAGACAAGGCTTATCCTTGTCTTCCAGAACTAATCACCCCTTATAAAAATAATGGGCACCTCAGTAATGCACAAAAAAATTTCAATTTTGTTTTGTCCAGGACAAGAGTAACAATAGAGAGGGCATTTGGATTATTGCAAAAAAGATTCAGGAGCCTTAAAGATTGTTTGGATGTGAGAAAAATCACATGGATTCCAAAATATATTTTAGCTATGTGTGTATTGCATAATATTTGTATTATGCAAAATGACATAATACATATGGAAGAAGTTGATGACATTCTTGATGTAGAGGAAGATGCAGTAGAAATTGTTGAGCTTTACAGGCATAGAATACTTTCCGGAAGAGCCAAGAGAAACAGATTGTGCCAAGAAATAAATAATCCTTAATTATTATATATACCTATTATATTGTATATCATTATTGGAAGTAAATGTCATTAAAACATTTTTCAATGTTCCTTTCATTTCCATATGAACTGAAACAGAATCATTTCATCATTTCCTGAATTAATTTCCTTTGTAATAACATTTGTTGAGGTTGAAAATGTTATTAGAATATAGGAAGAAAAAACATGTTTTAAAACAAAAAAAAAACTGGATAAGGAACTAATATTTATTCAACTAGTTATAAATTTCAAACAAACAAAATTCCAAAAACTTAAGTAAGAAACACTACCATTTCATGAAAAACAACTGAAAATAAACTCATTATTCATAACAAAAGTCTTATTCTATATCACAAAATGACAAATAATGGCAAACATAATTAAATGTCTTGACTCCAGGGAGATATAATAATTGGTATTCACCAGACAAAAATATGGCTGGATATTTACCTATATCTAATAGCAAAAAATTATTAATCTTCCTTTTTTTTATAATTATCCTTGAACCATTCAAAAACTTTGTTTTTGAAATCCATTTTTTCTTCGTGCCTCTTCTGAATCCTAGCATCCAAATAATTGAGAGATACAGACTTTGGTCTTTTTTCTTCTTCTGGTGAAAATTTGCTTTTTTTCACTTGCATATTTTCTTTGCTACTGCTGGGTCTTTTTATCACACCACTACTTGTAGCAGTACAAACTGGAGTAAATCTGGGATCCTTATGATATATATCCTGGAAGTCATTGAAATACTTCCAATTTGTATTCCCATTTCCCGTCTTCTCATTTTCCATTTTCACTTTATCATATACCTTTCTCAAGTTTCTCCACTTCTCATCACATTTCACACTGTCTTTATTCACCCCATGTGTTTTCATTTCGTTACTAATAATGACCCACACATTCTTTTTGTTCATATTACCACTATTAAATTTTTCTTTGTGGTTTTTGTAGGTAGCAATTAAAAGTAGAACCTCATCTTCTTTCCAAACGTTCTGTTGAGTAGATTGTCCTAATGGCAAGGGTGGTGCTGATATTTTCTGCTTCTGGGCCAATTTAGTTGTAGACACTTGTTCATCATCAGCTCCCTTGAACATTTGATGGCTGGTGTAATCCAAATTAACGTTGGAGGATCCATAAAAACAGTTGTGTTTTTCAGCAAGCCTATTTGCTATGATTTCCTCTAAGGATCCCAGGGCAATATGACAATGGCCACACGAAAAAACATCCTGGAAAAATAAAATGTATATAATAATTATAGTACAATTGCATCATTAACAATACCTCATTGTTTTCCATAGCAAAATTTTTTCAAATGATTCTACCAAAGAGGAGAGTTCACCTTCTTGAAAAGAAAAAAACTACTCAGTAGTCAGTACTCATTTTTCATTCAAAGAAAACTGTCACCTGCCAAGAATGTCATCTCCAACCAGAATAACCCATATAAAACGGCGGTCGTTCTGGTGACAGATTTCAGCAACCATATTTCAGCATTCGTGTCCCTTAAACTTACTGGTTGAGTGAATTTGACATTTACGGAACGTAATTTCACTTACCAGGTTAACCAAGGTGATATACGGTACATATTCAATGTAAACTGTAAGAACCCAGTGACAGATGACGACATTGACGACACTGTCGAACGTCGAACTCCGACAGCAGACAGACGGAGCTAAGATGGTTATTTCTTTTGTACGAAAGGTTTAGCACTTTCCTACACTTCGTGTAATTTACACTGAACGGATAAAATCGCAAAGAGATGGTACGAAATACATGTGTGATGTGTGGTTATACCAGGTGATTTCTCAAGGTGACTCATCACTTGCTTGAAAGTATTAAAACGGAATCTGAGAATCATGATCGTGAATTAAAGTTCAATTGAAAACTTGTTACACATCAACTTGCTTTACCGTACTTCCGGCTTCCGGTATCACCGTAAATGACCCCAGTTTTCGATTTTTGAATGGTACACCCTGTATTTTATTCCATAATCGGTTAGGGATTATCATAACTAATTCAACGGTACCAGATTTGATAGTTTCGAATGATTACGAAGACAGAAGTCAAAAAATTGAAACTCTTTGTCTCAGAAAGTACAAGGTTTGTTGATCTGTGACAGTAGATTGCTAAAGATCCCACTTACTGTCGGCACTCTGAGGTCGGCACCATTGATGTTTGTTGCCCCGATTTGTTCACTGTGCAACCCAGGTCATCCTTGGACACAGAATATCCAAAACACACTTGAAACTCTTCACTTATTTAACCATCAGTTCTACTAACCTTGACATAGGCACTGTCACTGTAAATGAAGACATCTCACGGGTGACAATCGACACTGACAGATGTAAGGTAAACAAAAGTGTTTATTTATTATGGTGTTGTGTTAGATTGGCATTAAAAATAATAGTGTGAAATTAATAAAGAATGCCTTTGCCTGCTGCCTTAGCAGCTAAATTATCTAAACGAGGACTAATTACCTGTAAGTTTCATTAGGCATTTTCCTCGGTATTTTTTGATCTTGAGAAAAATTAAAATGGACATTCATGCAATATGAGAATTTAAAATAGTCCAAGAGCCGGCTGCAAATTTCGATCGATAAGAAAACGATATATTATGTATCAAAGGCATGTAAACACATTGTACTTTATTGAACGGCACCTGTGCCAATCACTACCCTGAGGAAAAAATGATTGAAAAATGAATAAGGATTATGCCATCCCATACCAATTGAATGGTAGATCCCAAAAACCTATCTGTGCCACCCCTTCTGTCATGTATAAACATGTTAAAACAAAAGGCAAATGAAAGGAGATAATGTCCCCTTCGCGAATATCCAAACGTGCCGCATTCTAAGTCAGTGGCAGAGCGCTTATATTTCCGCGAATTCTTCGCCCCCCCCCCTCTAAAGATAATATTCGATGGACCTGTTTAAAACTCACACCATGAGTATTCTAATCCACATGTAGAAATTTACGCTGATCCATCATATTATCTTGAGAGAGGTGCGAAATATTCTTGGAAATATTGACGCTCTGCCACTAACTTAGCTCAGTTTTAGTCGCGGCAGGTTTGGATATTCACAAAGTGGACCATTTTGGCATTTTCACCATTTTCGTTACTAATTGTTATCACATGACGGAAGTATGTCCAGAATAATGGCAGCAAATAATTCGCTGTGCTATCGATTTGGCTCAGATTGAGGGGTGGCACAGATGGGTTTTTGAGATACCATTCAGTTGGTATGGGATGGCATAATTATTCTTATCCCTTATATCGAAGACTGGAACCTTTGGCACGATAATACACTACACTGTTTTACCACTAACCAAACCGATTTTTTAACGCCTCGACACGTATTTCTTCTCCTGAAGATGCTAACATAGTTTGCGAAACACGTGTCGAGGCGTTAAAAAATCGGTTTGGTTAGTGGTAAAACAGTGTATTCTTATCCCGTTATCAAATCGGGAAATTAAGTCGAATCAGCACACAGAAAAGTGCAATTTTTGGATAAAATACAATGTTTTTACATGTCTTTGGTACATACATAGATCTTATATATTATTCAGATCTATGGTACATAATATAACATTTCCTTATCAGATGACGGTCGAAATTTGCAGCCGGCTCCCCCACTATTAGATCTTTTACATTTTCGTATTTCATTTGAAATTCCAGCAATATCTGATATATACAGTGTGTGTGATTTCAACTAACACCCTTCTAATTTGGAATCCGTTGACCGATTCTCGATAAAAAAAAATTTCTAATTCAGAAGTTCAGAACTCAATGAGCTGTCTACTAAAATGTGGATAAATCTGAAATATTCAGATTCTCAAGGCCTACTAGTACTTGTTGAAAGGGTCAAAATTTTTAAGACCACACAAATTTACTGAATTTAAATAACATAAGTAGTTTTGGCCCTTTTGGCCAAATAACACATAATTACTTTCAATATTGTATTTTATGTAATTTTTTTTTCATATACAGGGTGAGTCATTGAAATGGGGAAGTGACATAACGGCTGCGCTGTTTGAGGTAGATGAACAAAAATGTTTGTGGTGGTCTAGTCTAATGAGCAGCACATTACCAAAATATTTCGCGTTATACAGGGTGACTCAAAAATGCGTGACGTATCAAAGTTATACTTTTTATTATGGGACACCCTGTATTTCATTGCATTCTCGGTTTCTCCTTTGTGAGCTGATTTCATCAATGAATCACACTTGGGGTCTAGTAAGAATGATTCCAGAGCTATAGGGTGTTCAAAATCGAGATTTTTCAACTTTAGGATTTTTTTGGGTCGAAACTATTCATTATTGGTCAAATCGGCTTACATGTCCCTATCTTTACTTCTGATTTACTATCTACTGATATTTAATCTGAACAAATAGAGGGAGATTTTTCAACTTTAGGATTTTTTTGGGTCGAAACTATTCATTATTGGTCAAATCGGCTTACATGTCCCTATCTTTACTTCTGATTTACTATCTACTGATATTTAATTTGAACAAATAGAGGGTGGTTCTTAATTCTGAATTTTGAAATACACTGTCATTGTCCAAATTGAATATCAGTAGATAGTAAATCAAAAGTTAAGATGGGGACATGTGAGCTTCTCACCAATAATTAATAGTTTCGACACAAAAAAAAACCTGAGGTTGAAAAATCTCGATTTTGAACACCCTATATATCTGTAATTATTCCCGCTAGATCCCGAGTGTGATGTATTGATGGAATCAGATAACAAAAGAAAATCCGAAAATTCAGAAGTATGCTGCTCATGAGCTTAGATCATCACAAAAATTGTTATTCATCTATCTCGAACAGCGAAGCCGTTGTATCACTTTCCCATTTCAATGACTCACACTGTATATTTGTGCTTTGTAACATGTGCTGTTGAGGTTAGTCTATTTTGATTGCTTTCAGGTACATTTTACATATTTTCTCAATGTGTGATGATGGCTGAGGGCCGAAACTAGTTAAGTTCAGTAAATTTTTGTGTTAGACCGACTCGGCGTATCATTTTGGGTTTCATTAAATTTAATAGTGAATTCCTGGTGAATTTCATTGGCACAAACTGTTGGAGTGTTTCTGCACCCAATGTATACAAGGTGTTTTTGAAAAAAGTACAAATAATCAGCACATCCATACGATACAGTCTAAGGAATATTCTCATGATATCAGATTTTTCCTAATTCTTCTATTTAAAAAGAAATTTCATCACGGTAATTGAGCAAAGAACGACAAAAAAATCAAGTAGCCTCTTTAAAACAATTTAAATGATTGAAATCCGCGTGATTGTGCTTTTCGTGAAAATTTGAACAGAGGTGACGTCAGGTCAGAATTGCTACAGTGAGGAACTTTGGGGGGAAAACGGGGTCTGACCTCAAATTTTATTTTGTTCCCTATATTTTTCTATTGGTACCACTCGATAGTATACGTCGAACTTACTCAAGGGAAGTATTTGCAATTATTGCAACGCCACCCTGTATATGTTTCCTTCTTACTCCTATGTGTTGAACAGTTACACTTAGTGGAGAAACACTCCACCTGTTCCTGCCAATATAATTTGCTATAACATTATTCTCCACACTCTTATTACATTTTCTGTATATTATTAAAATAAAACATGTTTCTCCTTAGCCAAAAACAAACTTACAGAACCAACAAAGAAACAAGATTTCAAAGGCTTATCAACATGTCCGAATAAATCCAATGTATATCATGAGTGCAACTACTGGTGTGAAAGGCATTGGAAAGGAGTGCCAACACCTGACCCTAAGTATTTCAGAAATATGCAAAAACTTTTGGGAAAGTTTCCTCTCCCAATGAATTGGACAGAAATTTTTGATAAGGGATCGTAAGTACACACATTATTGGATACAACATTTTTACATCAAAATGAACTAATTTTCAATAATAAGTATAATCTTGTTCAAGTCTGATATTTTTCCATTGTTTTCTGATTTTTCAGCCTTATGATGCACTTTATTTGTATATCTTGTCAAAGTGGCAGGTAAAGTGCAGGTAATGTGAAACGCATGAAGCAGATTGACGTGTTCAAGTTGGAGGACATGTCAATAATTGTCAATAAAAATCTTAAACACAAGTCAGATCTGGAGACCTAGCTAGCCTCCCAAAAATGCTACTCCTTCCTCTCCATTATCCAGGATATCTTAAATCTAAATATTTCCCTACATTAATAGCATGCTGACATAATAATTCGCGGGAATCAATGTTACCAGGTGGCGCTCGGTTTTCATCGTTCCATGTCAAAGCCACGTCAAAACTGGGGGAAAACAAACTCAATCCTTAATCAATCCCATTAGTGCCATTAGCTTGTGTATTGTGTACTGATAAGAGTGATAACACTTTATGTCATTGACAAGTTTCACAGCTACAGCTACACCAAGATGTATGCAATGAAGTCTATGCACTTTATCCATAGAAAAGTTTGTTTTCCTCCAGTTTGAAGTTCGTATTATGTAACCTAGATGTCGCCCACTTCGTGAATTTCGTATTGTCATTCATGGAAATAAGTTTGTTAATAATGGTGATTCAATTATTATTCAATTATTTGGAATGATTCTACTGATCACTCATCATTATTCAAAAAAAAATTCCAGGCTACACCCATATCATGTAGTCATGTAGGCATCAAGCCCTAATGGGGGAGACCACTGATTTTTTAAAACGACATTATCGTGAACTCTATACTGAAAAACTACCAGTGAATTAATTTTGAATTTTGTCATTCTTGCTAAGAAGATGAAAAACATGAATTAGAATATGTCCATTTCAAAACACACAATTCCTGTGCCATTTGAGATTTTGTCAATTCATTTGTGTGACTGGTGCGACGTCTTAGTCCCAACACGCCTATTGTCCTGAACTGACCAATCACACTGCAACACTGCAGAATGACGAGGTATCAGAGAGAGATAGCTACAGCTCGGGACAAATACGTCACGGATCCACCATCATATTTGGCTGTTTGAAATATCGAATGAAATATGCTGATTTCTAAACCATATAGATTCGATTCCCTTCTACTTCAACTCATAATATTATTTGTACATCAAACTTGAATCATGATTCGTCGATAGAAAGAGGTTTGCATTTATTTTCTCAGTGGTCTTCCCCATTGCACAGGAATATGACAGACTAGAATTTTATAACTGGCTCCTTGATATGTTGGGAGATGATCTGCTCTTGTGTTTATTTTTTGTTGTAGTTCAATTTGTCCTTATCATAAACCTTATAGTAGATTTTATATACAAGGTGTTTTTGAAATGAGCTGTACTGTTCTACTGAAATTAACTGAGGTGAAACTGAATTAGTGGTTATCCTGTATAAGAACAGCTCTTTTGCTCCCGCGTTCTCGGGTAGTTATCCGCGTCTAAACTCATCTGGGAATTTCTCCGTTCAAGTCCTTTTCATTTTCGTCTGTTTTTGAGGATAGGTGTCGATTTGGATATCTTTTGCTTTAATCAAAATTTGTAAATACTGCTAGAATTCTACTCGTTCACCAGTTAATAGTGTTCGAGTGTTCCCAAAGTCAATTAAAGTAGTTCCAGCAACAATCAACGTCGTGCGCTCTGTTCGTTGAAGTCTGCATGTTGCAGAAATTCCTCGACGTGCTTCAATCAATTTTTGATACACTATACCCATTTTTGAGTTTCTTAAAAGTGATTTTTGTGGATACCCAGATGTTACACTTGACTTATTGTGTATTTCATCACTTAACAACAGAGTTTAAGATAGGATCAAGTCACATTTTTGAAAATAAAACTATCTTAAATCTAAAATCGAAATAAAACTTGAGAAAACAGCATTTTAAACAGCATTTTCACATCCCTGAACTTTTTTAGTTATTGAAAAATGAAAACATCTAAAACTTAAGTGGGACACCCGATATCAATCTCTAATTTTTAGTGGAAGATATTATTACTGGAACATGGAAAATGATTTGGTATCATGGCTCCCTCCCAAACATCCAAAATCCGTGAAATGCCAAAGCGCTGCCAAACTTCGAGAAAACCGCCTGAAAATGAGAGAAAGAGAGGAACGTCTAGAAAAAGAGAAAGATAGTGAAAAGCAAAAAGAGAAAGATCGAGAGCGAGATCGAGATTCCGACGACGAAGATAGAAATAGTCGTAGTAAAAACTCCGACAGAAGGGAGAGGGACAAGGATCGGGAAAGAGACAGGGATGACAAGCGACATAGAAGGGATGACAGGTACAGAGGGAGGAAGCCTACGAAAAAAGACGAAATTGATCCCATGGACCCTGCGGCATACTCAGATATTCCAATAGGCAACTGGAGTGATGGATTAGAGACTAATAAAACGAGAGCTGATAATACAGCTTCAGGAGTGTTGTTTCAGCAAAGGCCTTATCCTAGTCCTGGAGAAGTTTTGGCTGCCAATAAAGAGAAACCAAAAAAATAATTGCAATAAGTGTAAAGTGAATAATAAATTCATCAAAAATAAATGAAAGCATTTCCATTCATTTCCATGCCTGCGGTAAATTATACAGAACATTTGAGCACCTTGGCACAACTGTTCTGCCGTTATAAGCACAAAGGGCACATCTCACATCAAGGAAAATTTCCACAAAAAAACATGTGTATTCAATTGCCGCGACTAGTAATTATTCGAATAGGCCTTTTCATTTAGATGACAAATGACTATCTCTGTTTACATCTCGCATCCAATGACAGTGGCGGCCATTTTCACCGAAACACTTACACCACAGTACCACACTCCTCAGTAATAAGTAAGGTTTTTTGGAATTTAATTATTATAATACAATTAATCCACTCCAGGAATATAAAAACCTAAATACTATGTTGTTATTGTTGTGTCTCAATGACGAATGCCCATGGTGGTTGACATTTGACAGAACGTCAATAATACCCACTATATTCGAAATGGCCAATCATTATTTTGTGTTGGAACTATAGCCAATGAGACTGCACCTTCGCATTATCCAATAAATTTTTGGATCTAAAAACGAGCGCATGCGTCTTAAAAATATATCTAAATGAAAAGACCTATTGAGATGCGAAAAAACGTATATTTTTCGAAAATATGTTCAAAATAATGATTTTTGGAGATAAGCCATTTTGCCTTAGATATATACCAATCTAACAGTTCAACAAATGAATACCTATTTGTACCAAGTGAACAACTAAGAAGCATGTGTAAAATTGAAATAGAAACGACTTTTTCAAGTAAACTTTTTCGATATTCGAAGAAATAATCCTACTTTCAGCGATTAATTTGAAAAAAATGTCACTTTTGTCATGTTGCGAAAGTCACGTGATCCCGATTGAGTAGGCTATTTTTCATCTTTTTTGAAGCAAAACTTAACGTCCAACTCGAATTCCAAAATGAGTCAATAATAAAACTTTTTTTCCCATATGATGCCGACTTTATGAATGACACTGTATAGCGGCAAAATAGAGAAGAACTTTCCGATGGTCATTAGGTATTCCCCTCAACGGCCTCTATTCGTGGTAGGAGTATGTACAGTTCCTCATGACTCACCCTGTATGTCCAATGCTGTGAAAATAAAATAATTCCAAAATTTCATTCAGGAGTGTATAGCACATGGTGGGACTACATTGAATATTACTCAAACTTTTTTGTATGCATATTTTTTCGCAATTTAAATTCCGGATTTTGAAAATCTACATCTCTCAGATGTGTCATTTTAGAATGGGATTGATTTAAAAATATTGTCACATCTCACATATGTATAGCGTTGCCAATTCTCGGCTATAAAAAATTCAACTACTTTTCCACAAACAATTTCATAGAGGCTTCCAAATAGGAAGACGATGATAAAAATCAACTCCAATGTTTGTGCATTTTTTCCATAGCCACTACGATTTCTTGTAATGTTAATGTTATGTATAATTTAGGAGATATTTTCAAATCGATTTTACTTATAAATGATTGATTACAAGAGCACCTTCTCTCTGTGAGGAGATGTAGATATTCATAATCCGAGATTGAATTGTCGAAAAATTTGCAGAAAAAAGTTTGAGTAATTCAGTCTCGCCCTGTATTGTTCACTCCTGAATGAATTTTGCAATGCTTCACTGCATTGGGCATAGAAAGTTGAGCTCTTGTACCGAATTGCATCATTTTATCTCATGGCGTTTCGGAAATATTCAGGAAATATAATCTTCAGGAGTTCCCTTTAAGAGGCCGTAGCTCCCTCAGGAGCCATTTTTCAACTTTTGTTCAGTTGGAAATTTTCTCCATATATTGAGGAGCAATTTTTCAACTTATATTCATTTGGATATTTTATTCATATTTTTGGTCGAAAATTCTACTGGTGATGTTTGGTAGGCTAATTATGGGACACCTTGTTTTAATTTTTCACACCACTGGCAAAAACTTGGCTACTTTTTTGTTTCATCCTTCTATACCAGTCCAGTTCAAAAGGTATATTTTTTAGGGGGTAAAAAATATGATATATTTACAAGTTTTATTTTGAAACTTCTCTCATTATTAAAACAGTAATGACCTAGCAGTCTTAGTCGAATCTTAAGATAACAAATATCAGAATATAAAATTAAAATGAGTCATATTACACAAAAACAAAACAAATATAAAAATAAAACAACATATTCTATGATTGGTGATCATTGTTGATATTGATTTATAAGAGATCTATAAGACAGACTCAATCCTCAAGGCAAATTCATAATTGGAAATTCTCATGATTTTTACGAAGATGGGCCAAAGCTGTGTTGCCAATATATAATTTAACGATCACCCTGAACTTATTACTATAGGAATCAATAATCATCTCACTTCACCAACATACTCTCCACAGCCATTTTGAGGAGTTTCGCCTCCTTTGATTGGGTTAGAGGTGGATTTGATAGAATGAAATTGTTCAGTTGTTTCAGCAACTCCTTCAACACTTTCGGAATGAAATGTTTCGATGTTACACAGTTGGGAGCTAGTGCCAGAAATGCAGCACGAATAAAGCTGAAAATCACATGGAAATTGATAAAGGTAGATAATTATGATGACTTGTTTTTAGATTATGATGCATTTAAATTCAAGAATGCTTGAAGGTAGCTCATCATAAATGATTAGAACAGTAAAACTTGTGGCTAGTTACAAAACCAACCAAAGCTACTTTCTTTTCTCACAATTTACCATGTTCGACTTTTTATATTTTGTGCTATTGGTGTGTGGGCAGCAATTATATTTCTACACAGGATTGCACTTTAGCTGCTGAAATACGTATTTAGCCTTCTCTAAATATTAATGTGAAAATTTGTTTTGTTTTGTGTTTGATTCGTTTTTTGTTTGGATATGAATAAAATATAAATAAAGAATGTGTTAAATAGAATAGCATACCTTAGTTTTAACTCAGTATTTTTATTGAGATCCATACTGAGCTGTTGTATTAAAGCCAAAAGGCAGCTTTGCTGAAGTACACACTCCTCTCCAAATAGTGTTTGAACGTCTACCCGTTCACACACATATATAACGTAACTCAGATTTTCTGCACTGAGCGCCAATTGGAATGCTTCATCAAAATCACCTTTTGATAAACACTGTTGGATTTGACCTAGGGATACCACCTAAAACAAGTTATCTTATTCATGAGTAATTAACGTGACAGAAATAAAGTAACTGAATTATTCCACTGTTACAAGGACAACTGTTGTGCAGGGTGATTCACCATAAATTCCTTCCCTGTAGCCCTTGTTTATGAAGATATTCGAACATATCAATAGTCAGTAGGTGGGAGTTACGAAACTTACAAAAAAATTGACCCTGTATATCCTTAGGAATATAGATGTCATTTTACTCCCCGATCCAATATATGGTGTGTCCAAGATAGAGCTTAGAAACTCTCTTTTGTTTTCTTATATCATAAAATAAAATGAAAACGATCCCCATGACAGACATCTTTATCTTGGACACAGTGTATAGTTTAATATACCTATTTCATGAACTTAGTGATTGGTTGAAAACTCAATGTTAGAATAAATAAGAAGGCGCCTAAAGTTATTTTTGCATAACCTTTTATTTTGTTCGTTCAGTTTTTCATCATTTTACTCAGTTCTAAGGATGCCACCAACTGGATTTTGAAAATTTCAAATATATTTATTAAGAAAACTGTTACAGTATTGGGATTTAAGGTGGATCACCCTGCAGAAATACAAAAAGTAATTCACAGAAACCATAATTCAAGCCGCAACTAAATAAAAATTCCTCGTCATCCATGCAAGTGAGTAATGTGATGTCATGGAATTCTGATTTCAAATTACTATTCATTCAATTACTTCAGAATTACACAATATTATATTTGAGCAATATTGGCCTTGAATAAGTATTTAACTAGTTGAGCGCCGCCGTACAAGGAAAAAATCTGGTCCCAGATGACCAAATTTTTTTTATCGGTTTTGACATAATTGAGCATCACCGTTTATGTCTCTCCACGAATTTTGTCGATTTGTGATTTACATTTTTTTTCATAGGCCTTTTTGTCTGAGGCATGCCTTGTATGCCGCGCGGCCTGTGGGAATTATCATATGGTATAGGGCCATGCGACATACATGTCATGTTCAGTTCAGTTGCATACATTTCAGTTCATTATCTTTCCATCTCATGAGATGCAATATATTCCGTTGTTTGTAATGTTCTTGAATAAAAAATGCAAAAATTAAATGCTTTCTCCGTTCATAGTGAAGTACCTACCAAAACAAGACCATCCTCCACTTTCAAATTGAAATATCAAAAAAAAAATCGAAAATAAAAAATATTCACGGGCCAAGACCATAGCATGGTTCGTCAGGCCACACTCTTCAAGCCCCAATTTGATTTGTACAGTAGCGAGGCATCTCTACGATACCACACCAGAAAATATAACAGTCCGTCACGAGGCACAGTGTATATGCCGCGCTGCCCCAGGAGCAAAACTATGTGTGGCACGCGCACTATACCTCACGGCGCTCAACTGGTTAAAGCTATGGATGTTATGATATATACGGAAAAATTTTTCAAATGCACAGATAATACAGTGTCTTCAACAATGATTGAAAACGTGACAGATTACTATGCAACAAAGAATACATTCGTATATCTTTAGCATGGGTGGAAAAGAGACGCCGCATCAGAAACGGTCACGTGGCACTCAATCATTGTTGAAGACCCGTTATAAGACCTTTTTCCTTCCAACCAATTGGTGGCAGAAGGGATCACATCAAGTTTCTATCAAATATTGACAAACTGTAAACATCTGGGTTGTGCATTCAAAAAGATAACTCATTATTAACTGCGAGCCAACAACTGAACGGTTTGTTTTGAAAATTTGATGTTTTTGACGTTGATAAATGCTATCCTTGAAATTAGCAATATGAAAAACAAAATTCTCTACAAGTTTGACACTAACACTGGACTGATGGCTCATCTGGTTGTTCATCAAGTGAATTAAGCAGCACAAAATTCCCCACCACTGGTGTAGATGGACGAAACTGGTGAATTTAGCAATAGCAAAGTTACCATTGGCTGTCGAGACTTAATTTACAACTGTATGAGTTATAATATCAAATATAAGGTGAAATTTTGTCAAATCCATAGATAACAATCAATTTTTTCTTCCAACCTATCGGTGTCAAAAGGGAACATCAAATCCTTGTATATATTTTGAAAAATAAAATGGGAAAACAATGTTATTTTTCAAATTAACATAACTTGACAAAGCATTTCATTTCCAATTTGAAAACCTACATGAACGTGTTATCAACTAATCATTAAATACTAATAATTACATGTTGGCAATAATACATACTCATTGTTATTTGACCGAAACATATGAAAAGGAAACATGCATTGTATTAAATCCATGCCCATTGCTCCATTCTAGAGACCATCAATTTTACATTGTTTACTCATTCTTGGTACAAATATATACAGCATTAGTAATTCGGAGTTGTTTCTTCATAAATACAATATTGGAGAAATTGAATTAGGGTTGACAAGATTGGAAGTATGGTGAGGACAACTTTGAGAAACAAACCACAATTATTATGTATGGGTGATTGACTATGGAAAAAAAGTTCGAAATTTGGAAAACAAGGCTTGAATGAGATGTTGTTTCCTTCCAGAAAATCATTTCATATACAGAATATGTCAATTTTCTTTTAAATGCCCCCCCTCCCCCCCCCCCTATTATTGTATATTTTGAAGCAGCTATCTTTCCTGATTTTGAAATTATATACTTCCCATAGGTATGTGATTTTTTTTTTAAATGCCTTCAACTGATTCCAAATGTTGTGAAGAAAAAATGATTATTTGAGATATTCAAATCAGATGCTCGAAAACTCTTCCGTTATTTCAAGTAAACAATTCAGGCGTTTGATGAATGCTGTCTTCAATTTGCCGAAAAGTTTCTATTTTGCATTCAGATCTGCAATATTTACTATTCAAGTGCGTAACTCATCTAAATTATTAATTATTTGCCCATAAATTCTGTTTCTCAATGTTCCCCACAGAAAGAAGTCGATTGGTGTGAGATCAGGGCTTCTTGGTGGCCAGGAAATCGTCCCGCGCCTTTGATGATGAGTGGATAGTCATTATAATTTGCATTTGAACATTGAATCATGAAGTTGGTTGAATGGCAAGGTACCGTATAATCGCCAGATTTACTTTTTCTGATATTTCATCAACTCCTTGATATAATTTATGGAAGGTATAATATATTTTCGCAATCAGGAAAGAGACCTCTTTCGAAATAGGTGATAATATACAGGGAGTTCTTTTCGAGAAAAAAAACATTTTGTTCACATAATACCCTTTATATGAAATGAAGAAATCAAGAGTGAAAACATTTTCAAATTTCGAATATTTGTTTTAGAGATTTTAGAGATATTAGCTTTTACAATCGTGAAAGCCATAATCACCCATTGACAAAATTGATCCTACTTAGAAATTAACTAGAACAAAGCCACTGTAAAACTACAATCATCAGCTTGTGTTTGTAATTCATAATTCATCTATCTACTTCATTAGTTGAAAATGACAGGTAGTTGTGTTTGCTCATATCAGTTCTACAAACATAATACTCTTTAAGGTCCAAGATCCGGCTGCAAATTTTGACCACCATCTGATAACGAAAAGACAGTAATATGTCCCAATGGCATGTCAAAACGTTGTATTTAATGAGACGGCACTTGTGCCAATCATTATCCTGAACAATGTTTGAAAAATGGCACTTTCCTGTGCGGTGATTTGCGCTAAATTTAGCGATTTGATAACGAGATAAGAATCATGCCATCCGATACCAATTGAATGGTAGATCTCGAAACCCTACCAGTGCCACCCTGTAAGTTGAGTCAAATCCTCTCCACAACGATTATTTTGCAACCGTTATTCCGGACATCTTTCCGTCACGTGTTAATGAGTTTTTATTAATCCATTGTGCATCCAACCAATGTATTAATGTAATTTATTATTGTTCAATCTGAATATAAACAATTTGAATAAATATAAAACACTAGAATATCACGTGGCTCAGATTAAAGCTTGGTTTATTGCTGTGCGATTTTGGCTTTGACGATGCTAGCTATGAAACGTGTAATTATATTATTGGTCAAAACTAGCTTACCAATTCAAATTGACAAATAATAACGCCACCAGGTTTCATTGCTAGCATCGCCAATGCTAAATCGCCCAGCAATAAACTAAGCTTAAGAGGTGACACAGGTAGGGTTTTGATTGAGATGTTTATAATTCCTCTGGTGTGCCTACTCTTCATTTGTTTCGTCAGACTAGCTCTCGATATGGACAATTGAATGCGAGTTCGGAACGTGGGGTTCTTATATTCGGTAATAGATGGCGAGAACGATGGACAATTTCTTGAAAAATTTCAAAATGCATTTCGATTCTTATTATGAAGTCGAACTAGACTTTCAAGGATGTGTTTTCCTTCTGTCGGAACCTGAAGAGTTCCGTTGATGATGCACATATTCAATAATATCTGATAAGAAGGATCTTGAGACAGGACGCAAAAGAGACAGGGCGCAACAAATAATCAGTGCGGAAACATCTTGATCTTGACATATCTGTCACGATTGTCATATTTTCGGCATATTTATGATTTTGTTCAAATTTCAAATAGAAATATTATAAATTAAGTGCAATAGTAGTTGATTAAGCAGGTATTGATATTATATAATCAGTTTAGTGAGTATATTGTGCTTTCATCATGGACTGACTGTTGCAATGTGCGAGGATTATTTGAAACTCCATTTTATGTACCAAAAGTGAGTAAATTAACTATTATCATAGGATTTTCTTGAGTTAGGACTTCTTGTCGTTCATGAATTCATCATTGTGAGTCGAAAATATAACGTACCCTTTCCATTTAAACAAAAAATTTAAAAAATGAAAATGTGAACTCAAATGAATGTGTCATGATGCCTGTAAATTTGGTTTGAAACTTCGGAGATTTAGCAAGATTCTCCTACGCCTCGCTATTTTTACAAAGTAGGCGACATCAAGAGATCTTGAAACTCCTTTCAATAGGAAGTGATAACATCATTTGACTTTCTATACATCTATGTTTTGAGATCACATGCCTCTGGGACACAAGTAATTTCGTTATAAGGTGAGGGTAGAAACGTGCAGGTTATTTCGTTATCAGATGACGGTTGAAATTTGCAACCGTCTCTCCTACTATAACAGGAACAAAAAAAAACAATAAAATATGCGTAAACATGGTTTATTCCGCCACCTTAAAGCAAAAATATTCAAACTCCACCAAAACGGAAAAACAGAAGCAATATGAATATAAGAAGTGTAATAATGCATTAGAAGCGTTTGCGTGCTAATTTACTGAAGTAACCTACATGCGTGTCCAAATGAGGAGATGGCGTCACAGCCCTAGAACGCACTGCATTCATAACACTATCTTCTATAACTGTAGCGTGATTTTTGAAGCCCTGCTTCACTTGATCGGTCACTACGTCATTTATATTCAGAATTAACTTTTCTTGCATACTACAAAAAATACATCTTCAGAAAAGTTCCAGCTTCTTTAGTCTACACAATCATGAATCATGTTGACATTATTACCTCAAAATTAAAAATGAATCTACAGTTCCTAGAAACTCAAATTGGACACAGACATTGCAAAAACTCAAGTTTTGAATAACGTTATTTCCTATGGGAAATTACTTTCCTACGGCTCATATACAATGTATAGGAACATTCTTTTCATACTATTTTCGAGGATTCACCCACTCAAGTTCTAATGGACAATATCGATTTTTTTTTTATAGGAATCAGTTCCGAAAGATTTGAGAATTTGGAGCTGGGGGTCTATTCTACAGTTCAACTAGTATTCACAAATCTTCATTCGCCAATTCTAAGATATACTGAAGATTTAAACAGCCACTATCATCTCTCCTCAGATATTCGACTAAATTTTCACTTGTAATACCACTAGAGGTCAAATTATTTCCGGAAATTTTTTCGAGCTCATGGATATTTTGGAAATTATTCCTAGTCGAAGACGAGGGATAATTTTCGAAATATTCATGAGCGAGAGAAGTAATTTGACCTCGTGTGGAATTCGGTAAGAAAATTCCACACCAGATTGTGTTTGGAAATTAAATAATTTTCTGAATTATTTGTTTATTTGATTTGCATACAGGTTCTAGTATAAATTCAGTTTAAGTCGCAGTTTCGGCATCAATAATAGATTCCTGATTTCTACCTATTATATTTGCATGAAGATACTAGTTTAAAATATGACATATTATATTCTTCCATTTTATATCAACTTCGGGATACTACAAGTGATATTTTTTTTTTTCAATTCACCGCCTTTTTACAATCTACCTCAACACTGAGTATTTAGTAAAATAGTTGAAAGTTTGAGATTGGAAGTGAGATGCCCTTTGGCATTTTCACTTATAGAACACTAAGCACTATTAGTTGTGTTGGAGAATGTCTTCGGGTCAATTTTTGTTCAATCTTCTGTGAATTGGTCCATCCATGTACAGGTTTTCTATTTGATCATTTGGATGCCTGTTAGTCTCATTTGGTAGTTGGTGGAAACTGTTCTAATAACTTCTGTGAAATACGGAATTTGGAGGTCCTCATGGAGAGTTTGGTTGCTAATGTACCAAGGAGCATCAACAATAGATCGAAGTGTTTTTGACTGGAATCTTTGTATGGTTTTTATTCTAGTTGGATTTGCACAGCCCCATAGTTGCACACCATATGTTCATATAGGTTTTAGCATTACTTTGTTGCAGCAGCTTGTTTTCGGTCGATAGCTTGGATTTACGGCCTATTAGCCAGTACATTTGTTTGAATTTGATGTCTAGTTGCCTTCTTTTCGTTTGTACATGTTTTTCCCATGTTAACCTCTGACCCAAGTGAAGGCCCAAGTACTTCACATTGCTTTTGGCTGGAATTGGCACTCCATCGATGGTGACTGGTGGGCAGTTATCATAGCACGTAGTGAACGTTACTTGGACTGATTTGGTTTGGTTGATTTTAATTCTCCATTTTCTATACCAAGCATTCAACTGGTTCAGGTGAGTTTGCATGTTTACCGAGGAGGTGGCTGGATTTCTATTCACAGAAAGGATAGCGACATCATCTGCAAAGGCAGCTACCGTTGTGTTCTCTGTTTCAGGCAGGTCATTGGTATACAGAAGGTAGAGGAACGGCCCTAACACACTTCCTTGGGGCACGCCAGAGTCTATAGGATATTTGTCTGATGTTGAGTCGTTGTGTTTAACTGAGAAATATCGTTCAGTTAAGTAGGACTTAAGTAGAAGGTAAAATTTGTTGTTTAGAGTATTTTTTATCTTGTAGAGCAGACCTGCATGCCATACATACTACAAGTGATATGAAATTATAATTTTGTCAATTAATTTTTCATAGGTATAGGTACATACTAGTAGTAGTAGAGAAAGGGGACGCAGTTGTCTAGCAAGTAGGCCCCAGTGAGCCTTTTTTGCCGACCCCTGCTGCACACGTCATGTGCACATCATATCTACTATTCCTTCTCCTAATTCTCCTTTTGGAACCTACGTGGATTTCCTATGAAGGTCAGTATATCCGTCCACTTTAGAAAATTGATCTTCCTGTTGAAGCGTATCAGTACCAGAGATTTTGAATTTTAGCCTTCCATAACGCCTTACACTGGCCCAGATAGTGGTATGACATTCTATATAATATATGCAGTTAGGGCATCAATGGATCATTAGACTATCAATTGTTGATTTCTACCCAATTGACGTGGCACAAAATCACTATTTTAGGACTTCAAAATATTCTTCTGTCATTGAAACGTCATAAAAAAAATCCGATTTCATACGCTGGTGGGTACCCACGAGAAAAAAATTTCCACTAAAATACATACGTTGCTATGGTAACTTGTCATAAAAACCCAATTTGACTGTATAAAAATCACTGGTGTGGAATTTTCACACAAATAAAATCAACATATATTGAAAAACATTTTCGGGTTAGTTGGAACGAAATTTCACCACATTTTTGTTTACTTTTCAAATTAGACCCCTATTTAACAGTTTTTCATGAAAGTGTAGACTAGAAGTCATGGTGATCTGAAAATTCTGATAAATGTACCGAAATCTATACCCTAAAATTATGATATCTACCTCTTGAACACGACGCTGAACTGTTTGGTTATTTCAGATGTCAAGTTGTTCGTCAATTTATCTGCATTCGTTTTCATATTCTCGGAAACGGTTTGCATCTGAACAATGAGATCTTTCCCTTTTTCTTGAACCCTTCTCTGCCTATCCATGTAATTCTCTACAGAAGCTGTATCTGAAATATGTTCATCAACATCATTATACGCAGAGGAGAGGAAATTAACTGCAAAGCACAGGATGGAAAGAATAACGCGTTTTTTAAATGACTGTTGAATCAGTAATCGATATTTTCAAATAATTGGTCACCACACTGAAGTACTATTATGAAATAGATGCCTAGGCAGCGATATAACTTTTTGGCGTGCCGAAAGAAATGTTATCGCCGAGGCCGTTTCCGGTCGAGGCATTTTTTGAACTAAATAAGTGAAATGACATTTTGAATGAAGACGAATTATTTTGACAGTTCTTGACGAAATGAAAATATGAAAATGTCTGACACTGAATAACCTTGCTATTGTCGTAACTTTGAAAAATCAAATTCGGAAGAGACGTATGATTTGGCGGCCGTTGCTATGGGTTAACGGCTGCGAAGTTTTACTTCGCGTACTGTGTTAAGAACGCGAAGTACTCTTTTCTCGTATGATTGCACGAAGTTATTTTCAGAGTCCATCTTCCCCAATATTTTCATTTTCAACTCTCGGTAGTGCAAGCGTGAGGCCTTGCGTGTATGGTTGTTTATACAACCAACACCTTTGAATTTTCGCCTCCAGTTGGCGTAGGTTAGGTACTGAAAAATGCACCTCTCTCCTTCTACTCAGATTATCTCTCGGTGAAGTAATTAAAAAAATTCCGCTATCAATCGTTATGTTCTGACATTTGAGAACAGATAGATGACAGACGGATGTAGATAATTTTTATATGTCGGCGTCAAAAAGTGAAATCCGTCATTCTCTAGAATGCCTAGTCATTTCACGTATAGCCGGCAAACAGCATAACTCTAAATTTCGTACACCGTTTCCCTAATAGTTTCAGGCATTTTCTGAAATGACGAAAGGAAGGTTCTCTCAAGTAATTTTCTGAGAAATATACTTTTTAGGAAGAAGGTTCATTTAGGCGGAAAAATAGTCTCCCTTCTTAGGCATAAGTGGAAGTTACGCTGTTTGCCAACAATACGTGAAATGACTAGGCATTTCAGGGAATGACGGATTTCACTAATTGACGCCGACATATACACACAGATCGCGATGATAATATCGATTGTATCACAGACTATTCAGGGTTCTGGTAGTTACCAATTTTATAGGGGTCGGAAATGGCTATTTATATATCAAGGGATCCATTTCCTCCCGCGTGTGAGCGGAGGGCATTAAACACGCCCTGTATCTTTTTCCACAGCAATATTTTATCAAGGTCTATTTGATCCAATCGCCATATTTTGGTCCAAACAGAGTCACTTTTTATCCGAATGAAACATTCTATTTTTTCTGCAATCGGAATAATTGATATCTAATTAATAAAATATAATTGAAAATACAACTATTTTGAGTCACTTGAACATGTCCACAGTGTCCACGCAGCTATCATATCAGCTGTCATCCGACACGTTTTTAGTTCCTAGGAGTTTAAACTTCAACTTTAGCTACTAGACACTAAAAGTGTTGCCTAGCAACATAAATACTAACCATTTTAATGTGTTAGTAAGAGAAACGTGAACTTCAAGAGCTGATTTTGGCACAAAAATGGACGACTTTTGAGCCGATTGCAGAAAAAAAAACATTCTACTCTACAAAAAACTTACAAACTCCTTTCTTTCAAAATAATACTATGAAGCTACTCGAAAATGGATGTCTATCAAATTTTCCCAAACATTTTATGGCATGTTGGGCTGTTTTTCAACGAATGACTGATTTATTAGAGTGGTTTCACTGTAAATTGCAATGAGAAACGAATGACTGATTTATTAGAGTGGTTTCACTGTAAATTGCAATGAGAAAGCTTGATAGAGAAATAACTTACATTCTTTGGTACCTCTGGTGAAAGTTTCATTGATTTGCTGAAACATCTGTCCACAAACTCTCTCCCAAGACGGTATCAAGGAGGAAGATATGATATCACGATAACATTTTTCTAGACTTGGGGCTACGATATTGACCACAGAATTACTCAGAGTATCTGCCAAAGCCTGAAAACCCAGCGAAAAACAAAAATTCAGTTCTTACCTAAAAGTTCGAAATTAATGATCCATAATTATTCAAAACAATTCGAATCAAATAGATTAATAAAAATTAAGAATTGAATTATGATAGGTATAGGTACAGAAAAATTTAATGTACGAAATTTCGCATTCCTCATATGCCCACTATATTTTATATTTCAGTCATGGGATATTATAGAACAAGAAGAATCTAGAACATCTCTCCAGAGACAGAGAGATGGAAACAGTCTGTCTTTTCCCATGACCGTCATGGTATTTTATACCTCAAATTAGTGTTCTCGCCTATTTTCATTGTGGATTTTTGATCTAATAACTCATCAGGTTAAAAGTGACAATAAACTCCTTATTGCTAACAGTTTACAAAATAAATAAACCTAACATTATAGTTGCAATTAAAGTTATTATTCAGAACTTCATATTGTGATCACTAGATTTAAATTTAGCCAAAAACAAATACTAACCTTACTATTGAAAGCTTTGGAAACATTTTCCTTAAGCATCATGTCCGTATTAGCCAATTTCTGTGTGAACTGTGCATCAACTTGGGTCCTGTATGATTCAATCATTTTGTGTATTGAAGGTAATATATGTTTCATCTCCTGTGACACAATTTGCTGCATTTTGTCACTCAACGATTTCACAAGGGACTGAGTAACTGCCGTTACAATCTGTTCTTTCAACTCCTGATCCTTAGTTTTCTGTAAAGTGATTAGACTTTCCAACATCTTCGCAATCCGCAGATGTTGCTCCGACATGGCACAGTCAATTTCATTGATAAACTCTTCTTTGCGCATCATGTCTTGATGTAATTTTTGTAAATGAGTATTTTGTGTCTTCACCGTATTTTCTAAACTAGAGATTCTGTAGGTAAGAGTTTGTATTTGGGACTGTTCTTCCCTTGAACTCAATCTCAATTCTTTCCTTAAATTTCCGTCTTTGATGATATCATCCTCCTTAACAACAGGAATAGAAGGCCAAACGATTTCGGAACTTCCATTCTCTTGGTAGGTTAAACCGTCATTCTGGTTGGCATATTCTTTCTGAGGTTCTTCCTGTTCATCCTGAAGTTTAGATAAATCATCAAAGAAGTTTTGAGTGCTATAAGTTGAATTATTTAAAGACAGTATTTCTTGCACTTCTCTGCTTGGACTTGATCCACCGCTAGCAAAGTTGTCCTTTTGCGGTCTCTGGAAATCGATCAAGTTCTCAACTACAGGTTCATTAATATCATTGGAAGTTTTTTCGAGAGATGTGTTCACATCATTCCTTACACTGTTAGGCCTGGACCTGTGTCCAGGAGATGTAAAATCATCTGGTGTCATCAATGTCATATTATTCGAGTTGCTTTGTATCAGTTGAGTTACTGATTCTTGTAAATCATCTAGCTTGGGAACCTTCTCTTTTTCTTCAGACTTCTCCACTTCTTTAGCCAAGTTCAAAGTGTCGTACATCATATTTTCTGGTTGGAAAATTATGTTACACTCCTGGAACTTTTTCGGCTGTATTACTAACATCTTCAAACATGTTACTGTTTTTTCGGTTTCTTCATCATAGTCCTCTCGATCATCATACAAATCCTCATTGCTATTGTTGTAAGAAAACGGTATCGTACGCCTACCTGCTTCAAGGATATGGAAACTGAGAAATGGGGCAGGTAACAAGAACTGTGCAAGTGTTGTGACGTGCACAATTTGTTCTTTATCGTTCCTATTCAACTGGAGGACATAAATAACTCTATCATTGACGTTGGAAATCACCAAGTATTGGCCAGTGTAATCTATGGCCACATTGAGGTAAACTCCAGAGATGAGGCTGGAAGGGTTTGGTTTGAAATGTATGGTTTGAAGGCATGTCCAACTTTCGCACGACCATAATTTGATTTCGGAGTTGTTGTTTGCTCCGGTAATTGTGAATTTCCAGCATCTAAAATATTTTATATCGTTCAATGGGGTGACAGTGACATTTTTAGTTCAGTGTGGTACGCACGATGTTCTTTGAACATTATATGGATTCCTTTTCGTGCGCATCAAAGCTTAAAGAGATACGATTTTATTTCTCATACCAAAATTAATTCATATAAACAGTGGTATTATTCACATTTCACAACAGTTAGAAGTTATGCCATAGAATCGTAAATGATAACAATGGTACAGAAGACAATTCTCCTATAACCGTGACGCATTATTTCCATAATACCTCAGCACAGAGGGAAATACGTAAGCGAAACAAGAACACAGTATTCTGCTACATGGTTTGTGTATAATTTTTTCGACTACTAGCACTGAGATTTGCCCAACATTTTTTCAGTTTCAGTTCCAATATAGAATAGAATTTATTGGTAACTTTGAACATTTCTTTCATTACAGAGGTCAAATAGTTCGGAACATGTTCGTAGATATACCTAAATATCTTGTAATAATTATTGAAAATAAAAAATATGTGCACATAACAAATTAAAGCAACAAGTATACTTAGTTACACAACAATTTATGGTTGAGAATAATATGTTGAAAGTAGTAGGTAGGATGGGTGTATTTGGTGTTTAAATAATATTATATTCTGTTAGATCACTGGACAGAAATTCTTTTAGATGGACATTATTCTGGACAGTTTCTTGTGTTTTTATTGTATTTAAAAGGGGTCCATATTTAGCAACTAATATCAGACATTACTGAAAGGAGTCCAATTTCACGGGTTAACAATAGATTAAATAATGGTGCACTTTTGAAGCAAGTAGTGTAAACACAACTGTACAGGGTGGACAATTTTTTAAGTTTGTATAGGGTAACTTAGTAACTGAGAGGTACAAAAAAATGGAGGTGACATTAGCGATCTTTTTTTTAGACAAATTCACGAGCGGTAACAAAAAGGGCCCCGCACGAAAACATGGGAAATTGGCTCTTGGTCGAATTGACTGAAATTTTATTATATCGTTGTGGGATGGCTCGTTAGAAAAATATGTGTTTAAATAGTTTGATATGCTCAGTTTTTGAGATATAAGCCGAAAAAATTCGTAAAAACGTCGTATCGGTGTATCGGAGTATGATTCACTATCATATATCGGACACTCTTGATGTGTAAGTGTTTGATAGCAAAAATAATAAGGTGAAAACCGCTTTAAATAAACCATAGCCAACTATTATCCCCATTTAGAAAAATGCACCTTTATAGGTCGCGATTCGAAATTACACATTTTTTCATGTTCTCGACGCCAGTGGTATTATACAGAAAAACAACTTTCAGAGTGTGAAAGTCATCTAACATATGTCAAACAATCGAATTATTATTTTTACAACTCCAATACAAAACCAGACTTTTGTTCCCGCAAGTGAATCGGTATCAAAAAAAGAAATCGAGAATGTTACTCATTTTTTTCTTGATCTCTCATCCTTTCCCTGTACCAGTATAGGTTCCGGCGAAACAGATGGCAAGATTTAAAGAGACCAAAAATCGAATCAAATGTCATTGTTTTCTACCATATTTTGTTCAATCAGGGTATCATGCTTTTGGGTGTATGATGAATTGACATTCATCGTACAGGGCGTGTGATGTATTTCTTATTAATAAATAAAACACCGATTGATCTTCATGTGTTTTATTCTTCTCCACCATCTATGTCTGAATTCCCATAACCTCTATTAGTCTATCCTGTCGATGTCACACATCTGACCAGTGACGTTGTTGTCGTCATCATCTATCATGAAATCATGGAACTACATCTGACATAGAACATTGATTGTACAAAGATACATTTCATGATACATCATCTCCCTTTTTCAAATTGGAATAACAAAAATAACACATTACATAATAAACAGATAATAAGTAATAAAATTTGGAAAATAACAATATAACATTTAAATATTACCTAACCTCACAATTCTAGTCTACTGGGACATTTTGAAACTCTTCCTGATCTGGTTACATAATTTTTTCTTTCTTGAATATTTTGATTCACTATAGGGTTGAAATCGTTTTCTTGTGAAAAATTATTATTTTGATTTTCTACAAGATTGTTATCATTTTCTGGTACACTACCCTCTTCCTTACCACAGAGCTCACCACTTTGATCATTATAATTACTCCAGTGATTATAGTTACTATCAATGCCTTCATCTTCTTTTCGCCTAATTCTGTTTCCCTCATATTCACTATTTTTAATTTTAGTCTCTAACTTAGATGGCCTTATATCTATATAGTTCCTTCTTTTAACTCTATTATCTTCATCCCTGATCATCACTGACCTGGGGGCACTATGATGGTCAATTATTTTGGCTGGTTTCCACTGATTATTGAAGCGATATACAATATTTTGATCTTGAGCATAGCTGTGTTCTTTTAGTCGTGACCCTTTATCATTATAACTTTTGATTTTGCTAGTTCTATTTTCTAGGAAATTTTGAAAATTTTCAACAATTTTAGGTTTCAGTAATTCTTCATGAATTGGTAGTTTGGTACGTGTATTTCGACTGAAAAGTAATTGAGATGGCGAGTAATTACTGCCTACCACAGGGGTGTTTCTATATTCAAGAAGCATTGTTTCACTATCAAGATTTGTTTCTGTTGATTTTTTGAGTATATTTTTACATATTCCTACTGCTTTTTCAGCCAGACCGTTGCTTCTTGGGTAGTATGGGCTGGACGTAATTAGTTTGAAATTCCATGCTGTTGCAAATTTTTGGAATTCTCGTGAATTGAATGGCATATTGTCAGACACTACCTTTGATGGTATTCCATGTATTGAAAAGATATTTTTTAGAATTTTGATAATATCACATGCTGTTTTTGTGTTTAGTTTGACCAGCTCTATCCATTTTGAGAAATAATCTACAAGTACTAGGTATGGTTTATTACTAAAATCTAGAACATCACACGCTACTTTTTGAAAAGGAAGTGTTGGCTGTTCTTGTATTATCATGGGGTCTCTCGTGTTTCTGGGCTGAAATTTTTCACATGTTCTGCATTTACTAATAGTATTCTCTATATCTGTATTCATTGATTTCCAGTAAAATAATGTTCTTGCTCTTGCTTTCGTTTTTGTTATGCCGAAATGTGATTCATGTAGATTATTAAGTATTTTATTTTGTAATGAATTTGGTACTATGATTCGATTTTCAAGGTATACTAAACCGTCTTCAACAAAAATATCATTTCGTTTATTATAGAAAAATTTTACAGTTTCATCAACTTTTGTTTTTGAACTTGGCCACCCCTTACTGTAATAGTACATAATTTTACTTAGCATGTTATCATTTTTACTTGCTATTTGAAACTGCAGTTTATATTCTTGGCTCATATTCACTGTGTGTACTACATCATAGAGGCAAGGGTCAGTTTCTGTGTTATCCGCTTTTGAGCAAGCCCTACTTAAAGCATCTGCCAAGAACATTAATTTGCCTGGTTTATACATGACTTCAATATTATATCTGAATAGTTTTAATCTAATTCTTTGTAGCCGATTTGAGGGTATTTTGTTTAGGTCTTTTTTCATAAGAGACACTAGAGGTAAATGGTCAGTATGAATGATAGTTTTACGTCCATAAATATATTGTGAAAATTTTTTACATGCGAAGAGGATTGCCAAGAATTCCTTTTCAATTTGACCAAAAAGTCTCGTTTCATTTTCTGACAGACTTTTAGATGCAAAACACACTGGCTGATTGTCTTGCAGTAAAACACATCCAATTCCATTTTTGCTGCTATCAGTTTGTATTATTAATTCCTTGTCCTCATCAAAATTCTTCAATATCGGGGGATGACTTATTATTCGTTTCAGTAAGTTAATGCACTCAGTGTGTGCAGGTAACCATTTGAAAATAATATTTTTTTTTAGTATTTCCCGTAAAGGATTTGAAATCTCTGCTAAATTTGGTATAAAATTTCTTAAATAATTTATTAGACCTAGAAACCTCTGTAAATCAGCTTTATTTGTTGGTAAATCATAATCTAAAATTGCTTTGATCCTATTCATATCTGGTTTAACCATCCCTTCTTTGAAAATGTGACCTAGATATTTTACTTCCGTGACACAACATTGAAATTTATTTTTATTAAATTTTATATCATTTTCTTCAGCTCTTTTCAACACCTTTTTTAATATTTGATTGTGTTGTTCTGTGGTTTCAGCAAAAATTAGTATGTCATCTATGTAAACAAACACATTTTCAATATCCCCAAATATTTGTTCATTGAATTTTTGAAAAATTTCTGCTGATATATTCAGGCCAAAAGGTAATCTCTTGAATGAAAAACATCCATACATAGTGCTAAAAGTGCATAAATCTTGACTTTTTGCATCCAATCTGATTTGAAAAAAAACCATCTTTCAAGTCTAATACTGAGAAATATTTGGCATTTTTTAACTTACATGTTAGATCAGTAAGAGTAGGAATTGAATAATACTGCTTAACTATAGCTTCGTTAAGATCTTGTGGATTTAAACATATTCGAATATCCCCATTAGGTTTTTCAACAACTGCACAAGGATTCACCCACTCTGTTGGATGGGTACTTACTTTAATGATATCATATTTTATTAACCTTTCTATTTCATTTTTTAGCTTCTCTCTAAGTTTTATTGGAACCCTGTGTGGTGGCTTCGTGGTAGGAATTACATTTTCTTTTACACATATACTGTACTCCATTGGAAAACAACCTATACCTTTAAAAACATTATCATACTGTTTGAGCATAATCTCTCTTAAACCTTCTGCACTAACACTGCATACCTTATTTCTAGTTACAAGACCTAACCTCCTGATTGCACTCATGCCTAAAATTGGTACAGAATCTACTTTTGTTATTACAAATTTTTCACTCACTCTTCTATCCCCCAAATGAATATTCAACATAACTTCACCTAGTGTTTCTATTTTAAAACCTCCATATGCCATCAGTTTAACGTTATTTTTACTAATTTTGAAATTTACCTTATTTTCTTCTTCTATCTTTTTGTAAACATTCATTGGTATTATATTTACATCTGCCCCTGTATCTATTTTAAAGTCTATTTCTATCATTTCTACTACTAAATTTTGTTTCCAAAAATTAGTTTCATTTATAGAATCACAGTAGTATTCATCTTCAAACTGATCCCTAGCTTCATTTTCAACTCTCTGTACCTGATTTACATTTGAATTGCAAACAGAGGAGAAATGATTAAATTTGCTACATTTACTGCATTGTTTTCCCATAGCTGGACAATTCCGAAAGCTGTGACTATAACCACATCTATAACATTTGCTGTTGAAATTCTTACCACTTGTTCTTCCATTATCATCTGTTTTATTTTTATACCCTTCTCGATTATCTATACTAGAATTTTGTTTACTTTCTTGATTACGTTTATATGTATGACCCCTTTCCTCTCTTCTGTGAATTACTCCTCTATTGTTGCCTTGACTCCATTTCTCTCCATACCTTTGTGGTTCCCCATTCTTTCCTATGTAATCCACCTCTCTTCCATGGATTTCTTTAGTCTGCTTTCTAGTGATTTCTGCTATTCGGAATGCTTCAATTGATTCTTCTAAAGTGACATTTCCAATTTTAATCAATCTGTCTTGAGTTTCTCTATCAGCACTGTGTAATACAATTTTATCCCTTAACATTTCTTCTGGTGCCTTGAACTCAGCATCTTTCACCAAAGATTTCACTTCTAACAGGAAGGAATCAAAAGTTTCATACTCCTTTTGTTTCCTCTCATAAAACAGGAACCTTGAGTGTAACACATTCTTCTTTGGATTTCAATATGCTTCAAATTTCTCAAGCACCTTTTTGATATTCGTTTTCTCAATCTCCTCTAATCTAAATGTGTTAAATAGGTCAATCGACTCAGCTCCAAGGATGTTCAGTAAAATTGCCACCTGTCTTTCTCCAGATTCTTTATTCAGTCCTGAAGCTGTCATGTAAATGTTGAATCTCTGTTTGAACCTCGACCAGTTTTCACTCAAATTTCCATTTAATATCATTGGACTTGGTATTACCAGTCCTGCTACTGGAACAGGTGTATGTGTGGGCACTGTGGATGCCTGCGGTGCTATCATTTTCAGTTTCTCATTCGACTTTTTCCATTGAAATATGACTTGCCTTCATTTGTTCATCCAACGAATAATCAATTTTTAGACCGACTGCGCCATGATGTATTTCTTATTAATAAATAAAACACCGATTGATCTTCATGTGTTTTATTCTTCTCCACCATCTATGTCTGAATTCCCATAACCTCTATTAGTCTATCCTGTCGATGTCACACATCTGACCAGTGACGTTGTTGTCGTCATCATCTATCATGAAATCATGGAACTACATCTGACATAGAACATTGATTGTACAAAGATACATTTCATGATACATCAGCGTGGAAAGAAATTCTGAATTGAGACTCTATCACGAATCTGCGATTAGAAGTCTATAAAAATCACAAGTTTCCATCGTTCAAGTTTGAACCCCCTGATTGGGTATGAAAGTGTTGAAAAGGAATATTCTCAGATGAATTATGAACATATAAAAATGGATATATATTTATATAAAGCAATACATTGAGAATTCGCATTCTCTATGTGATGAGAATATTTACTCTTTCTCGTTATAGTTTTACTCGGTTTTAGTTGTATTATAGAGAGATGAAAATTGTGTATATCATGAAGAATGGCTGTAAGAATAAGTGGACATCATGGTTACTGATGAGGATTCAGAAATCCGAAATGGTTTCATTGCAATAAAGTCATATAACCTGTGTGTGAGAGATAATATTTCCCATATCACTGATATGAATGATTATTTTTGGAAGTTTTCAAGCTCATCAAGATCAGAGTTTATGCCAGTATACTTCTCCTATACATTCCAATTTTCATTTCAATGCTGAATATATTGGTAAGTTATATTTCTATATCATTATACATCATATTATTCATCCGATTTGAAGAAGAATGTCAATTCTCAATTTCGGAGGATTTTATTCTTCATTTTTCATGTTCTCCTTTTGAATGTTCATCAGATATAATTCAATGTTCGACGAGGCAAATAGCCAGGAAAGTAGTTGTTTTCTGTTGAATATTCAGAATGATGTGTGCATATACATATTTTTATCTGAAGGAGAATGCAAATTCTCAATTTCAGAAGTTTTTATATTTTATTTTCAAACTCTTATCGTGTGTGTTCAATAGATATAATTCAATGTTCGTCGTGGCATATAGCCAGGAAAGTAGTTGTTTTCTATTGAATCAACTGAGAAAGAGTAAATATTCTCATCACATAGAGAATGCGAATTCTCAATGTATTGCTTTATATAAATATATATCCATTTTTATATGTTCATAATTCATCTGAGAATATTCCTTTTCAACAGGGTATCATGTTCTAAAAATTACATCTTCCTGGCGAGCAATGCAATAATTTCTCAAATTTTCTTTGCATCTTCAATGGCTAATCTCAAAACATTTCCTAAGAATGTTATTTAAGAACCAAATACAGACATTCTGAGAGCAGCTGCTGTTTTATAGCAGAATTTCGTGATGTCTGTTCATTAGACTACCGACTCAAAGCTTTCTGCGCGGCTACCTTTTGAAAAAACAGCCCAACAAAGAACCGCAGTCTTCACAGAATATAAAGTGCTTTAGTAAAGTACTGAATGAATTAATTTTTAGCCAAACTATCCATTTATGAGAAATTTCCTGAAACAAGTCGAATTTTATTTTCAATTTACCTTATTTTTTTTAAGAAAAATTGAATATACAGGGTGAACCACGTGTGAGTAATGACGTTCTCGACAAGTTTTTCACATAAAATACCCTATAAATTATTACATTTTTGAAATCTCCATGAAAATGGAATTCAAAAATATATCACACAAAGGGTTTCTATACAGTGCGTCCGTTAAATTGAGTGCTGATGAGCTACAGGTGTCTGAATTCTGACCATCTATTCTGTAGGACCCTGTAGTACTAGGAGTACCTACATAATTTATTGTTCTCTTTTTCAATGATGGATTACCAAATATGAGAGAATAATAACTTGGAAATATACTCACTCAGAACTATACTCTAGAACATTATCGATGAAAATTATACACGAAAGTGGTGCATTGTCATGAGGTCTCCATTCATGAAGACATTTCTGCTTCTCTTCATCGAACATGTACAACTGAAAAAAATAAGATTTCATAGAAACCATAACAAAACACATTAGACTGACAAGAATAGGAAACACAGAAAGTTTCCTCCCATAAGGGATTAATTTTGTCTTCAACTTGCTTGAAGGAATTATGCGGCATTCACAAATATCCAGGAGAAATTTCAAGAAATATTGAAATATTTCATTTTGTCAAGCCAAAAAAATACAAAGATTGCACAGATGCTTCTCTGCTTGGTAGGGATAATAATACAGTATATAGAAATATACAGGGTGTATCTAAATAACTCCGAAATAAATCAAGGGCCGATTCCTTGCGATATTTTAGGAAATGAAGTTCATATGAATATGTGTCCTAACTTGTATGTTTACTCTGAAAATATCATTTTAAAGATGAAAAATACCCTTGTTATTACCTGGAAAAACTTAACATAGCCATCACTGGATGCAATAGCTACAGCAGTGCCATCTGATGAAAAAGATGCATCCACAACCTCAGATGTATAATTTATCTCAATGTAACCTTCACAAGTTTCATCAGGATCAATAGGTGTTTTTTGGTCATACTTATCTTTCAGCATGGCAACATTGTAGACTTCAGCTACGAAAAAATGTACATTCAATATTCAGTTTTTCAAATCAGTGGATGAGGGAATACCTTTATTGCCATTCAGAACAACAAACATTTTTTCAGGATCATCTGTGGAATCTCCATCATCATCAAAACTTGGTAAATAAGGACACCAAATCAGTCTATAATTAGGATTTGGTCTTCGGTTCTCATGGTGATAAACATGTAACAACAATGTATATCTAGTAAAAAGATTGAGGAAAATTTTGTTTTTCTATAATCATTTATAAAGGGTCTTTCAACAAGGACCGGTCGATGTTGTAATTGAATAAAACTGTGTGTGAGATATTAACGATGCCTTAATTACATATTAACATAGACCTGCGACTTCAGGAAACCCCACAAGAAAAAGTCTAGTGGAGTCAAATCGCACGATCTTGGCGGCCAATTCACATCACCTCTACGAGATATAACCCTACCCTCAAACCGTTCGTCCACGTCCATATCGTTCAATTCAAGCCAGAAGAAATTTTTAATCATTGATCTGTAGCGCTCGCCGTTGACGGTAATTGCCCCGCCAACGTCATTTTCAAAGAAATACGGACCAATGACGCCGCCGGACCAAAATCCGCACCAAACAGTAACTCTTTGTGGATGCATTGCCACCTGGTGAACCTCCTGTGGGTTGTGTTAGTCCCATATACGGCAATTTTGCTCATTAACAAAACCATTCATCCAAAAATGGGCCTCGTCGCTAGATTATTTTTCTGCCAAAATCGGGATCCTCTTCCAAACGTTCCGAAGCCCACTGAGCGAACAAACGGCGTTGCCTATGGTCATTAACTTTGAGCTGCTGGGTCAGTTGGATCTTGTACGGGTGCAGGCCCAAGTCCCGGCGCAAAATTCTCCAAGTCGAAGTCTGCGAAAGGCATAGTTCTTGTGCATGGCGAGAAATCGACTGCCTCGGAGTCTCCTCCACACTCTGACGGACAGCGTCGATATTATCGGCCGATCTGGCGTTCCTTTGACGTGTTTGAGGGTGTTTTTTTTTGTCGAGGTGGTTGAAATCCTGTATGGACACCATATGGGTCCAGTCCCCCATATGATAGTAAGGGTGTTGGTTGTTTGTTTACCGAACCGGTTGTCTCGAATTCGGCTACCAAACTTTGGAGAGTCGACTTTGAAGGGCACGAACACTCATTTTGATGATAAAGTTTAATCATTTGGACATGCTGCTCGATCGTGTAACATGCCATGGTAATTTGGCAGCAGTGACTGAATAAAATACAACAGATTTGACAGATGCCCCCAAAAAAACATGGCCGCCACATACTGTCAACATCGACCGGTCCTTGTTGAAAGACCCTTTACTTGTTTGAGTGCCATATTATACATATAGGAGAACACAATTCCCTACTTCATAAGTACTACATTGTTACAAAAGGATACGATATTGATTGAGGAGAATCATCAATCTGATAAATCAGAATATTTCCTTCACTGTCAACACAACCTAAAATGATTTCCTCTCTAGAAAAGGCAAAAGACACATCTTTAATTTCTTCCTTGAGGTTTTTTATAAGAGTTCTATGATTAGTCTCTTGATTAGTTACTCTGACCATTCCACCATCTTTCCCTAAAACGAATTTTCAATAAGAATATATTGTTACTAGATTAAGTACAGAGTAGAGGCCAGAGGCGTCGGAATGAATGAATACCTTTGGGGTGGGGGTTAAATATTATATTGACGTACGCTGAGAATGCGCCGCAGGCAAAATTCTGTTTTATTCAAGGTCAAATGCCTTCAAATTGAAAATTAGATTTCTTCCAGAATGATTACAACTCATTGTATACCAGGGGGAGAGAGTTAAGAAACTAAGACCATATTTTTGTAAAGTAAAAACCTTTCATGTAACAGCTAGCTCTGCTGCGAGCTTTATTGGATACCCAAAAGGCTACCGACCGAGGTCCTTCAGCCTGTGTTACACAGTGATTATTGATTATATACTGAGTTTGAATTCATCATTATTGTATGTACAAGATATATGAAATTATTGAATTTGCTAGTGTAAAAAAAGAGGAAAACTCTATTGTGAGGAAAGAATTTTGGGAATTTCAATCTTCTGAATTGATTAAGCATTCCTATAGTGTGTTTTCCGGAAACACGTTGAAACTAAAGGACTGAAACTCAATCATTTTAAATCATTAGAAATCAACAAACTCAAAAATTTTGACATTTTACTTGATTATCAACTAGACCTCAATAGTTCACCTCTGTTGAATTTGTTTTCTTAGTAAGTAATAATATGTATTTGCTATCAACTCTTTCAAGTAAATGCGGTATACCGTATTTTAATGTAGATATTGTGCCTAATTTCCGAAAATGAAGATATATCGCCCCTGTCCACAGGTAACTAATCCTTCAGGTTGGCAAAGTAGGATATATAATTCAAGCAAGCCAAGGTTAGTTTAGTTCATTGTACCAGTATATCACCTGACGAAGCTACTGTGTTAGCGAAACATGTCGTGTGTTTGAAAATTTTGTGGAAATCTTATCGTTTGTGAAGTTTTTACATTTGTCATAAATTTCCATCAAGTAACGGCCGAGTCGATTCAAAACTGAAATATTAAGATTTAGCCTAACATGCCTCATAAGAATTCCGCTGGTTGAGGAGATAGAGGATGTTCTAAGGGGAGATTTTATGCTTAAATTTCTCATTAACTTTGTAACTTTCAACAGCATTAGCATTAAATTTTGTAGTTTCAGGTTTTTTGACAAGAGAAATACGAATGTGGAAGTTGTTTTGTGATTGCTCATGGAGGGCGCTAGTGGCACTCTGTTATTTTGGTAAATTACATCATATCGTTTTTGTCCATTGAATGATGTTCAAAATAAGTGAAAATTCTGAAAGCCCGTATAATTTTATATAAAAATTGTACTGTTTTTCAAAATGTCTAGCTCTAACGGTTTTTGCGTTATTCGTTTCTGAAGAGATTTATGTTTCAGTTATAACATTTCAATAATTTTAAATTATACGGTTAGCCGAACTGACAGTAGAAAACAGACAGTGATCAACAGTGATCAATGATGATCAATGACGATGAATCAGGAACACAACACAACACACAGAATTTCAAAGTAAATGTTCGACCAAAGCTTAAAAAACGTAAATTAAATCTTTCTTTGAACACCCTGTATCTGCAACATTTCTATAAGGCATGTTGGGTTAAATCTTAATATTTTGGTGTTTATATACTATCTGTAGTTCAGATATTTTACATTCTTAATGAATCATCCTGTATATACAGAAGGAAAATATCCTTTCTGCGTGAACAAATAGACAACTTTTTTTAAGAAATCTAACCTATCTCAGCCTGATATACAGGGTGACAGGTGACATTGAAATAAATACAAATATTTCTAACCCTAAATAATTGCGACGAATACTGTTAAATGGCACCCATAGAAAAAAATATAGGGATCAAATAAAATCCAGGGTGAGACTCTTTTTCCACCAAAAGTTCTACAATAGCAATTCTGAAGTCACCTCTGTACAAATTTCCGAGTGGAATCCACATTCTCGTGGAGTTCAATCAACAATCATTTGGATTGCTTTGAAATGCAGCATATTTGTTTTTTATTCCCGATTTTTATTTAATTTTCATGATCAAATTTCTCGTTAATTAGAAGAATCAGCAAAAATCTGATATCATGGAAATATTCGTTAGCCTATATTTCATTGATTTGCTGAATGAATGAGCTCATTTCAAAAACACCTCGTATAGATAAGAAAATGAAAGTAAATGTCCTTAAATTACTAATCACTCCACACCGTATACCTACTATCGATATCTGAATTAGTCATACTTGTTTGGGAATTAATCGTTTGAAAGAATGACGTAACGAATTAGTCATTTGAAGGATGAATAAAAGCAATCAGCAGTCTCGTTCTAGATTTCATCGCGTATGGACGTTTCAAGTGATAATAAAAAAATAACTCGAAAGTATTCAAGAGTGGAAAGTTGGAATTCATATTCGGCTTAGTGATATCTTCATTTGAGTGTTTGAAAGTTGTAATTTTTTAAGATGGTAAGTGTTTATGTATAAATATTCATTTATTTATTTATTTATTCATTTATTTATCCATACACCACTCAACAGAAACCATTTACAGAGTGGGATGGTGGGAGTAATCACAAAAACAAGATAATATACAGGATGGGTATAAACTACTGAAATTGACAATACTATGATGTTATTGAATCATGACACAATCAAGTTCAGGCAGATGTTACGTATAGTTTTCACATTCATATTGAATAAATATATACCGGGTGACACAGGAGACATGTAGCAGCCTGTAGTTTTTTTATTTGAAGGGATAAAATTTTGAAATTCACAGGGGATATACAGTGTGTCCCTAGACCAGTGGGACAGTTGAATATCTCCTGAACCAATAGGAATTTTCAAAATATTATGATTCCACATCATATCGCATTATGAGTGCTAACTTCAGGAATGACTATATTTTATACGAGGGGCGCAAGAAAGGCTCACAAAATCGAACATCAATTTTTTCAAATGGAACACCCTGTATTTCATTGCATTTTCATATTCTCCTTGATGAGCTGAATTCAACGACCTAGCACACTTGGGGTCTAGCGGGAATGATTTCCGAGATATAGGGTGTGGAAAATCGAGATTTTTCATTTTTGGGGAATTTTTTGTGTCAAAACTATTCATTATTGGTCAAAACGGATTACATGTCCAGATCTTAACTTTTGATTTACTATTTACTCGTATTTCATTGAAACAAATACAGGGTGGTGTAGAATTCTGACTGAAACTGAAAAACGGGGGTGTAACCATAAGAAATGTGACACACTGAATATATTTTTGCGAATATATCTGAAATTGTGGAAGGAAAAGGTAGGGTTATATATATATTTGTAATGAGAACGCCTGGGACTATCCAACTGTGCCAAAATATACGGGGTGTTCCATTAGAAAAAACATAATTGGCTGCCGTATCTTTTCAACATCACCCTGTATAAAATTTATGATGATGCCAATGAATTCCACGCATCACACTGTATGAATATACGTTCAAAATTTTTTGACACCTCTCACCGTAAAGTAGTCAGAAAATAAAATCGAAATCGGCAAATTTTCAATTTCCCCCTGTATCTCTAAAACGAATGAAGATATCGAAATTTTGATTATGCCATTCGAGGTTTCTCCAAAATCGAACCCGGAACATGTATATCGGTTTTTCGATAACTCCTCTAGTTATTGAGATAGACGGTGAAAACGCCCAATTTTGCCCACCCTGTATATCGATGATATCATTTTCATATTTACTGACAATTTCCCAAAATTTTTTGTCTATAAACGTTTTGTTCTATATATCCAAATAAAGCGGCGGGGGAAGTTTCTATTGTTTTTCTAAACAATCCAAGATTTCTCCGGTTTATTTCGACCGGTTTTAGCAAACTTAGGCTCATATGAAAGAGCATAGTTTGCCCTACAAAACGCTCATTTGGTTTAGAATTTTTGACTTTTGCTGTCGCCACTAGATGGCGTTTACTGAAATGTTAGCAAATATTCGAGTTTTTTTAAAAAAAAAAAACGAATGTAATGGTATATTAATTTTTATATGTTTCAAAAGAGGATACATTTCTCTATAATTTAATGGAAATAATTTATCATCTACCTTTTTTTTGAACCGTTGATATTGACCAAAATATAATTTTATTACATTAAAAAATAGCACGCCACTGTTTTTATCAAAATAAAAATCAGTTTTGTAATCTCTTATTAGTTGCTAACAAAAAGAACCTCATGACGTTTTTTCGTTAGATAAACGGTTTTGGATTGAAAAAATAAAATAGGTTTACATGAGGCGCCCATATCTATAATGATTTTGTAAACAGTATGTAAACCTATTTTATTTTTTCAATCCAAAACCGTTTGTCTACCGTTTGTCTAACGAAAAAAAGTCAAGAGGTTCTTTTGGTAAGCAACTAATGACAGATTACAAAACTGATTTTTATTGTGATTAAAAACAGTGGTGTGCCATTTTTTGATGTGATAAAATAATATTTTGGTCAATATCAACGGTTCAAAAAAAGGTAGATGATGACTCATTTTCATTAAATTATAGAGAAATGTATCCCCTTTTGAAACATATAAAAATTAATATACCATTAAATTCGTTTTTTTTTTAACTCAAAGATTTGCTAACATTTCAGTAAACGCCATCTAGCGGCGACAGCAAAAGTAAAAAATTCTAAACCAAATAAGCGTTTTGTAGGGCAAACTATGCTCTTTCATATGAGCCTAAGTTTGCTAAAATCGGTCGAAATAAACCGGAGAAATCTTGGTTTGTTCAGAAAAACAGTTGAACTTACCCCACCGCTTTATTTTGCTAGATAGAACAAAACGTTATAGACAAAAAATTTATGGAAATGGTCAGTAGATATGAAAATGATATCATCGATATACTTTCATTAGACAAAATTCTATGAAAATCCCATTTTTCTACTTGGTGTTGGTAGTTACGCCCTCTTGCGGACGTGTGACAAACTCGAAAATAATTTCCAGCAATTTCTCTTGGCGACTTTTATCTTAATTTC